AGTTGTTCTCCTGACTGAAGTTTGGTCCGTTTACAGCATCCTGCCATGCGATTGCATTTGTCGCTAACCATCAGGAACCCTCATGTTAACTTTTATCGAGTGGAAAAAGGTTAGGGTTCATCTTTCAGCTTCACTGTTTGTTATGCTAACATAGCTGTGTCGCTATCAATCATGTACCACATCATTATATACCAGCTAGCCCAACTTCAGTAACCCTACAAACGTCACTGCTTTTTAGTTTTCTGTCTTCATTTATGTTGGAAGTGATAGCAGAGCTGTACGTTTTAATTTTTCATAAATCTCTCAGTCAGAACATGCTATATCATGTTTAGGCGTAAACTAGCGAGCTAACTTCCTGCTAACTTCTAACTCCATTAAATTTAATAAATTCTGTTTTCATGGATGCATGGATGTTAAACTTAATTGTTACACCTGGTAAAGCAGCAACGCTGATCATTTTATTAAAAATGAAAGACTTTAGACAGTTTTTAACTCTCAGTGATGCTGCAATGTTCGTTTGACTTTGAGACCTGAAGCAGACAGAGTTCTGGAGGCAGATTACTCCGCGAGGCTCCTGGCTACAATAGACATAATGCTCTGACAATCCATCAAGCGGTGCGGCTTCGTAGCTTACCTAAGTTGTACTAAAACATTTTGGACAGATTTTTGAGCACCGTGTACCACATAAAATTGGTTCAAGGTCAGTAAGCACAACCAGAGTTCATACATAAGGCGCACCAGATTATAAGGCACACTGTCGATTTTTGAGAAAATTAAAGGATTTTAAGTGCGCCTTATAGTGCGGAAAATAGGGTATTTCAAACAGATGATGCATTGAGGGGCTGCACAGGGCCAATTATAAGCTAAATAACGTCTTGACCTACAAATCAAAGTATTAAAAAAATGGAGCTAGAAATTTTTTTTTTTCCAACCTAGCTTTAAGGATAGCAGTGGACAGGTTTGTTTTATAACACTGACCGATGCACCGATGGTCTCTGACCTCTTGGAAAATAACAATCCTCTCCTCTGGGGCTCAAGAAGATTATTTATCTAAAAGTGAATTCTGCCCCTATTTCTGTCAACATGGCGCAGACGATCACCGGGGTTATTTGAGTTTCCAGCGAGCTTCCTCGCTTTGTTCTGCTGCCTCTTGTGAAAATAGCAATGATTAGATCCAGGCTGCCTGAAAGACAAGCTTCCTATTTACAGTAAATGATAAGCGGGGGTGTGGTAGCCACCAGCTGAGAGGCTATATCAGTGCATGACTGTGAAATGTGGCCCTTGCCGTGTATTTGGATCAGTCCTCCTCGGCAACAGGAGGTGCGAAGAGGAGTGAGAAGAGGCGAGCATTTCTGCATAAATGCTGCAGGCCGATGAGGCATGCACCTGTTCTGTGCTGTGGCCTGAAATGCTGATATGATCATGTATGTTCTGTACCGTGCGCAGAGAAAATAACAAGTGTACACAAATGTTGGGCTTTTCTTAAAACTTAAAGTGACTTTATTTGGGCCTAAGACTAACTCTGTAGGCAGTATATTTTATACACTAAATAACTGCAGCTGATTTCCACCATCATATTTTTATTCTGCTACAGTAGCTTTGCATAATTCACAGTTCATAATAATCACCCTCAACTGGTTGCCGCTCGCTGAGCTGGTGCTGCTGGAGGTTTCTTCCTGTTAAAAGGGAGTTTTTCCTTCCCACTGCCGCCAAGTGCTCACTCATATGGGGTTGTTTGATTGGTGGGGTTTTCTCTGTATTGTTGCAGGGTCTTTACCTTTCAAAATAAATCAGCTTTAGGAGAATGTTGTTGTGATTTTGCACTATATAAATAAAACTCAACTGAATTGAATTGAATAATCCTTCTTTACCCTATGGTGCATCCCCTCAGTTCACCCTTTGCCTGAAACCATCTATCTTCACTCCTCCCCCTTTAAATCCATCCTCCTGATTGTCTTCCCTTTGCAAACACAAGGACTGAGCACCAGCTTGTTCAGTTTCATTGTCAGAAACCATGCACACAAACTAGAGGCAATGCTGGGGTATGTATTCATGGTCTTTTTACCTGGATTATTCAAGAAGTACCATGCTGAACTTAAAGAAACCTGGTGAAGACGTGGAGCTCAAGCAAAGGAAGTCTCCACTGCAACATTACTTTTAGCTTTGGCAGACTTTCATGCTAGCCCGAGACGTCTTTCCTTTCTCATGGCTTGCTGTGCGCATACTGAACAAACACTGTCGTATTTGTCCTGTTGTTTAAAACAACGATTTGGATCACTGTCTAGACAGTTGCCCTTTAACCATTCTTAAACTTATCTTCTTCCAGTATCAGCCACAAAAGTGAGACTGAGGTGAGCCTGGTGTATCTCAGCTGAATGCACACCCAGCAGGATGTTTCAAACCGCTGTTTGTCTGCATGCTGCTGCCTTATTTGGGGCCTGAAATGGAAATAAAGCTGGTCTAAAAAGGTTCAGAATAAACAGTTTTCATGAACCCGAAGTGTGTCTGACTAGTGGAGTGTGTTTTAGTGGAGTTTCCACACAGGAAACCAACAGAGGAGGTAAAAAAAAAACCCTTTCATATATAGTAGGAAACAAAATGCAGGTATACTGCAGAATCACAGAACACTGCAGAGAACAAATAAATCTATCTAGCTGTAACTCTCAAACTGCTCTAATTCATCGCCACGAGGGTAAATACAGCATAAGATCCATAAAATATCAGATTTTATATCAGAGAAACACTGAGGCCTCATTGTGAGTTTTGTGGGACTCTACAGCTGCAAAAATATTAGACTGCTTAAATAAATTATTCATATTTCATCAAGGCACAGCACTAGCTAAGTGTCCAGCATCTATCAGTAAACCGAAGTAAGCTGCTATATGCAGGCTGTGTCAGAGCCCAGTGTGGTCTACCCCCACGCAAAGGTGTGTGGACATTAACCTGACACTGCTTTACCAATTTATTAGCTACTAACATATTTGTTACCAGCACTCGGTAAAGATGTAACTTTAGCCAGGAGGTGGTGGCTGTGCGTATCCAGGCTTTTTGCCAGTCAAGAATATGTGTGGTGCAGTGAGATTAAGTAGGCCTGCACAAATAAGAGAAACACAGATGGCCAAAGACTACAGCTGTCAACAAGTCTTGTGTGCAAGCCACTCCAGGTAATCCGAACATGTCGTAAGTCTGCCACATCTAAGTCGGGTGAGGGCAGTTCAGGTGGGGGAGCGATCGTCGAAGAATAGCTCAATGGTTGCCGGTGAATCCTGAAATTATTCCTGCTTGAAAAGCCCATCCCTATCTACATATTATTTATTTAGTTTCAGTCTTTCTCGGTTGCTTTGATGCAGTTCTCACATCAGGAGCGAATTTCCCCACCCACATTATCCTTACTCGTCGTGTTTGTGTACACGCTGTTATTGTTGCTACGCGCACCTCACCCCTCAACATTTTATCATTTCTCATCTGAATCTCACAGCTCCTCATAAGAGAACGGATCTCTCACTTTCCATAACGCTGTGCAGCACCGAGTGACTGTTTTCAATCAAACCACGTCAGACTTTCATTCAAACAGGTGTCGAAGAGCAAAAGTCACAAGCCCACAATCCAGCATTGCACTGCTTCTTACGCACGAGCATGTGCTGTCAATCTATGTAGTGTAATTTTGCTGTAATATGCAGTAGTTGCTGCAAAGTTTGTGTATTTTTCTTTGTTTCCTGATGACTTTGGTTTCACATTTATCATCTTGATTTTCTCAGTTCCAGCAGTCACATCGTACCGAGCGTCAAACGAACCCTTCCCATTTCATTTTTGTGTCTGAACACTCTTTACCCTAAATCACGCCCACAGGTTCTTGCAGCAGTTTTTCAGAGTCAGTGAGGTTTCAATGGAAGAGTACAAGCATTTGTTGTTCAGGTCTTGAAATGGTGGTGAGATGTTTTTATTCATTAACTGTTTGGAAAAACGTATCAAGAGTGGTGAAAATGACTGAATGAAAGCGGTAGAAGAAGACTTGCAAACATCATCGGACTTCGGTCCAACTTCAAGTTCATGGTCTGCTGTTAAAAGAGGAGTTTTTGGGTTCAGTGACTCAAGATTTTCTACAGTCAATTAAATAACTGTGGTTATGACTTGTTGCCGTAATCAGGCCCTACTTTGTTAGTAGATTTAGCCATTTATTGTACCAAACCGGTACCATGGACGATATCTTAGTGCTTCACAATGATGTCTTCCTCTCTTGTATATATGGATGAATGGATGTTAATTATTTCCACTGTTCCAGGGCCCCCAGAAATTTTTCCTTTTGTGTCCTATTCTGGCCTTTTCTGGCTCTTCATCACAACGTGTCTGAACACTGATCTGGCACAAAATCGCTGTGACACATCCATCAATAAATGCTGACTTATTTGCTGATTTTCAGCCACTATATTTGTACACCCACTGAAACATCCCAACCCAACAAAACAAGTGTAATCTCCAGAGTTACATATGACCACATCTAATAATTACATCTAATTAGCCAGCTCAGTATTGCACTGACTTTACATCAAGCTCGGATAAGCACAGCTTTCCCAACATTGCTGCTATTAAACATAAATGTCGGATTCAAAATGATGCTGACTTGCTTCATCTTGCAGCTCGATTAGTTTCTGGATTAAGTCTCATTGAACAGCTGACTCCATGGTAAAGACATACACCATTAAACATTTCAACACAGCACAAATCTGATGCCATCGCATTAGCATAAAAGCCTGAAGCATCTCGTGGCATTTCAAAATAGCGCATCTGGGGAAAAAAAGTTGGTTTTTTTTTTTTAAAACCATCACATACTCATATATTGTTGCGTGTCTGAAGCAGTGACACAGCATCCTTTCACTCACTAGGTGCCAAACATTGCGCAAAGACTTGTAATATATATCCTGTCATATCTGAAACAAATCCTACAAACTCTGATTTGAAGGATTGCATTTGTCAGACGTGGGAGTTGATCAAAGACTTACCGTTGAAGTAGCCCTTGACCTTCAGGTATCCAACGCTGAGGCGGAGGACGGACAGCTTGTCCAGCCGGGACCGCACCTCCTCTGTGAAGGGCAGCAGGCTGGTGAGCTTGTCCAGCTCGCCGTTGAGCCTGTCGCGATGGCGTTTGGACGGGTTGGACTTGGCGCCCTCGGGAGGTGGAGGTTTGGGCCTGTGCATACAAAAAGAGACAAAGGGGGTTATTTTAAAAGGACAGGTTGACGACCGAGAAACTTTTCCACATCTCAAGTGACTCTTGAAAAAGGTCGGTTTCTCTTCAGAGTCAAAACGTTGGTTTGAGAATGAGAGAGGTCATGAGAAGCCCAACAAACAAAGTTGGGAGCTGCATGTGTTCTGTATACTGACGTGTGTGTGCGTCAGTATAAGAGCAGCTGGGATAAACTGAGATGACATGCAGATAGAAAAGACACTGCCGAACAAGCATCAGACATCCTTGAGTAAACCATGGCTCCCTCTATGTCTACATTAGGGACCAAATGAAGCATGACTGGGAAGGCAGGAAGGCAACGGCCACTCAAATAACCGCTCGTTACAACAAAAGTATGCAGAAGAGCATCTCTGAACGCACAAAACACACTGAACCTTGAAACTGAAGAGCACAGTGGGTGTGTCAGCTTAGAACAGGAAACTGAGGCTACAATTCAGACAGGCTTACCAAACCGAACAACAGAAAGCGGCATTATGCTGCCTGGTGATGAGTTTCAGTTTCAGATTGCAGGGTCAGACTTTGGCATAAACAACTTAAATAATCATGGATACATCCTGCCTTTTATTAATAGTTCAAGCAGGATAGCAGCAGGATAACGCACCATGTCACAGAACTCAAAAGTTCACTGCACTCAAACGGCCTCCACAGTTACCAGATCTCAGTCCAATAGAGCACCTTTGGGACATTGTGGAAAAGCACATTCACATCATGTGTAACAGTGTGGTGCTGTCATGTCAATATGGACATAAATCTGTGAGGAATGTTTCCATCACCTTTTTGAATCTGTGACATGAAGAACTAAGACTGTTCTGAAGGCAAAAAGTGGATCCCACCCAGAAAAGGTGTAATAATGTGGATTGTGAGTTCTGTGTTTACTGTGCTATGACACAGAGTCAGAGAGACTTTATTTATCCCCAAGGGGCAATTAAGATACAGGCATGGAGGAAGCTATGGCAGGGTCAGCAGTTTGAAGTTGTTTAATACCTGCTACACTACCTGTTTTTTCTGTATGTTATAATAGCTGACTCAACCTCAAACTGATATTCAAAGAGTTAACCATCACAAAAAACTCCAATAACAAGCTGTTTGGTTGAATTGATTCAGCACTCTATCTGCACCACGCAACACCAAACCCAAACCCCATAACCCTAACCATGATCCACATCCTAACCCCCAACTCCAACCCCAACCCTAACCACCCCCTTTTTGGGGATTTTTTTTTTCCCTTAGTGGACATTGGCAGATTTTTTTCCACATAACTAAACTATGACATCATAGCAATATGAACCTGGACCAACACAATGAAGTGAAGACACGGTGAAGACCTCACAGCGAGCTGAAATCCACTAAAAATCAAACCTCACAATGGATTTGTGAATTCTTTTACTCACATCAAATAAAATCGACTAAACAAGCACTCAACTGATCAACTCATAGATCAACAAAATCCACATTAAGAAAGAAAACACATTTTACATCATTTGAATAGAGAAGAGGTGATTCAAAAGGGCAGCTATTCTATCAAATGGAAGAAATCCATGAGCTGAAATTGAGTTTGCGTGCTGGATTATGGGTCAGGTATCACACACTGATCAGTTCAGCGCGGTTGTTTTCCTTCAGAGCTGCTGACAGTTGAGTGGAAAAATAACAAAGCCCCGACCACCTCTGCTCTCCAGAGTCTAATCTGCTCCATCCACTCTTGCCATGGGAACCAGGTGAGCCGAAGAGTGATGTAACCTGTTGCCAGACTTGTTTACCAAGCGTGTGTGCTCAGCCCTGTTCAGTAAGCTCACTTGCTTTGGGACAGCGACAGCGATCAAAGATGATCCACTTTAGTGCGAGTGTGAGAGTTTAGAGGCTGAGGAGGTTTATATACTTTCAATGTGACAGGGAATGGAGAGCTTCCTTCCCAAATGAGGTTTCTTCCATTTCAAAAGGTCAATTTTATTTACAGAAAACATGAAACTAAAAGGTGCAGACTTTACACACTCTGAATAAACTACAGCATCAGGCCATGAAAAGCAGGTGTAACTCTGTATAAAGATGTTTGCCTAATACAGGGCTTCATCAGACTTATCTATTATGATAGGGGGAAGATTTTAAATCAGATCTGCACAAATCCAAGACCGCACAGCTGAAATCTAGACTGACCACACTCCTCTTTGGCTGCACATCCATACACAGACATTAGCAGCTTCAGTCTAAAGCTGGGCAGTGTATCTACTATAACAAACTCCTTTTAATGATGCAACTGCCCCCATCACTGCCATCACGTGATTTACCAGTGCTCGTGAATTATGGACATATTGGAGGTACAATGGACAGTGGTTACTTGTTAAAGGGCGAACAGCCCAGGGACCCTGTTTCACTTCCCATTTGGATCTTTTTTTTTTTATTTGCAACTAGTTTCATTTTTCACTTCTGGTTACTGCTTAAATTTTGGGACCAAAGGTTGTTTGGTTATGGTTGGAGAAGGACTGCGGTTTGGGTTAAAATGTGCAAATTAGCAAAGGCAACCCCAGCTGTTGACAAATAAGGTGCTGGAAGTGACGATCACCTTCACCGCCATAGGTGTCGGTGGCTGCTCACTCAGTCGTCACTACGAAAGCATAACATGCAAGAGAGCCAATAAACACAAGCTGAAGGTTTAACCGATGTTTCGGATCACTTAACTACTGTCTGCATCAGTGCAGAAAGTTCTTTCGGCATTGAAAAGCTGCTGTCTGTATTTACTTAAGAGACGCCGTGTGAATTTTGAAACTGAAAGGCGTGAACAGAGGTATTAGTCTTTACTGCTTTCTTTTGAGAGCGGGAAAAAAGATTTAGCTGAATCATGTGAGCCTGAGTTTCAGTCACAGGTCTCGAGACTACTCAGCAACCATCGGTCACAAGAAGAAAATGTGTGTTCAAAGATCAGTTGTGAGTGGTTCCTGGAAGTTGATTCCAGTTGTTGTGAAATAGGCCTAGAAGATGGCCAGTGACTCCCTGGTAACCACCAGTTGCTAGGGAACAGTGTGTATTCTGTGGTGAGATGGCAAGTGGCTGCTGAAGGTTGCTGGAAGTTGCTAACTACTTGCCGAGTGGTAATGAAACCGTGAAAAGTGTGACAGTGGAGGGCCTTGAGTGCCAAAATGAATTAACTAAATACACAATCAAATAATAAATTAAATGTGTTAATGAATTATAACGGGAAATAAAGAACTGTGAAAATGTTTTAAATGAAATGAAGTGACATTTTATGATTACCTATATATTTAATGAATTATTTCCCGTTTTAATTAATTAATGGGATATTTAATTTATTATTCAGTGATCTATTTATTTAATTAATTTTGGCACTCAAGGCACTTAATATGCAGCACAAACAGATGCTCTTCTGCAGCAAGAAGGCACAACTTTTACTTTGAAGGAGAACATTCCCCGTTTCCGGTTTCTCACTGAGTAAGAATTTGTCAACTCTTTACAGACAAAAGGTGCAACTTTTACTTCTAAGGTGAATAATCCATATTTCCAGGTTACCTTGAACTTTTTCAACTTTCACGGCAGACCTGAGAGCAAACTGCAAATGTTTACAGACAAGTCTTCCACGCAGTCACAATGGGGGTTTTGCTACATCATCCTCTTTGTTTGATTTCACCTAGAAACACCCACTAAGCACTCGCTCAAACATTCAGGGAATGCACGCTTCTCCCCAGCAACTGTAAATTGCCGTGTGGTTGCCGATCAGTCTCTAGGCCTGAGTGAGGCCTGAGGCAACTTACAAAGGGGGGCAATTTAGCCATCAGCAGTTCTTCAGGCTACAAAAGCATCAATTTAATTTCCAAGCTTTTCTAAGCTAATGTTGACTAATTGCTGACAATGACCCCTGAAGAGAACAACTAAAAATCCAACCTGAGTCCTGTACACAGAAATCAGCATACAGGCTGTTAGAAGCAACAGATAGAGCCAGGCGAGATCTCACTAAGTTATTTTACAATCTGATCGGACATTAGCAATAAAAAGCATTTAAATGAAAAAATGTCACCTAACAAAAAAACTTACCTAACACATAACTGCACCCCTTGTGCAATTATGTGTTGTGTCTTTTGAAAGCCTCCACCAACAGAAACACATGACACAAAACCATAGTTTCTGGTCACTTTGTGCATCTAACAACAAGGCTGTGGCGGACAAATATTGTGTGTATTCTCTGAGGTAAAATTGCAGTTTCTTTCAGTGGAGTCTGATGGAGTGTAACAGTTTCAGTTCCTCATTAGATAAAGCTGTACGGCTGCAGGTAAAGCAGTGAAAAGGCCACAGCAGAATAAGGCTTTACTTTCTGTTATGGTTGGTGCTCCTGTTTCTGATTTTGTAAAACTGTAGCAGCATATATATAGATATAGATATAAGTTCATGAATTTCCAACTGATTGTATTTTTAATAGCTAACGCTCCTGTTAGCGGACATACTGATGTTTCTGAAGAGGAAGCCTCGCTTTTTTTATCATGCCAGCTAAGTAGCTGTGATATCTCACATATCGCTTTCATAGAAAAGGCAGATAATTATCTTCTGTCACCATTCAGCCTGCAAATATCAAGACATGATCTTGGGTATCCATATCACTCAGCTGTACATCTAATGGTCTAATGTTTTAACTGAAAGTAGGACAAAGAGGATGACTGTGTGAGAACAACGTAGGGCTAATGCTGAGAGCTTCTCTGAGTATCTGATATGTAACCTTGTGTGATAAAGCTTCCCGACTTCATTAATGTTAAAGTTGTTTTTTAAGGTTGTTTTTCTACTTAAATAGCTGTTTAACCTGTTGCTCCAGCTGCTGTTGTGTCTGGTGATTGTCTCTGGGTGTGAGATAATCTTCTCCCCTTGTGAGACACGTGTTCACTTCTGTATTCCGGAGCCGATCAGAATGCGTGGTGTTTAATTTACAATAAACCCATCAGTCCTGT